TGGCCTGTGAATTAGATAACTGGAAGCCACCAGAAATTTAGCCCTTTCAGGAACCAGTAGAGAAAACCAGTCTCTGGACAGCCATGTCCACCAACACCCAGGACCAAAATCAGCACCAGGCAAGGTGTTCATGTTTATTATCCCATTCACCAGAAGAAAGGTTATTATGATACAATGTCAAGTCCAAAGACAGAATCCTCTTTTTAACAGGAGAGGAGAAGGGGGAGGAGAAGAGGAAGGAAGGAAGGAAGGAAGGAAGGGAGGGAGGGAGGGAGGGAGGGAGGAAGGAAGGAAGGAAGGAAGGAATAAAAGAGAAACCACCACCACCACAACTAGAAAAGCTAAATAGCACCATGTTCATCTGAAATAACCCACCGAGATGCTTATTTACTTCTTTAGGCTTGTCTGTGGTTTCGCAATTTTCTACAGTGAACCCAGGTATTTATAAAAGAAACTTCAAGATCTCCAATAGCAAAGGTGGTCAGAGATGAGACAGTGCTTGTTTTTCTTCTAGCAAAGACAGAGCCCATCTTGGGGAAGCAATTTCTGTCGAGATGAGAAATCAGAATTTTGGGATGCCCAGAAAAGACTGCTGGGTTCTTTAAATAAATTCTCTAACACCTGTTTCTAGCTCCTTCTGCAAAAAAAGGCCCACAGGGTATGGGTTCCAACGAATGGGAGAGGAAGATAGAATGGGCTCCCCCACTGGTTGGATTTGTAAGGGTCCAGGGGGCCATCCAATTGTTTGGTCTTATTCACAGAGCTGCTATTAGAAATCTCCCTTCACCCCCTGTACCCCCCACCTCTCCTCGTCCTCCTCCCTCGGACCCACCCACAGCCCTTGCCTAATGCCAACCTATCTCATGGCCCCCGGCTATGGCAAGCCCAGTCTGCTCACGCTCCCCACCCCGGCAGCAATGCTATTACTGCGAAGTTTCCAAAGTTAGGATTCCGCCAACAGGGCTGATAGCTTATTTACTGCTGTCATCTATAGAAAGAGGAATTTTGACACATTGTTAAATGATAGCACATTTAGATAAGTCAAGCTGTCAGAGGCTCTAATGGATGTCTAAACTCTCTGTGGCTGATATGTAAAATTTATGCACTTCAGAATATCATAAGGTTATAATATTTTAATCACATCCACGCTCTTTCTAAACTTTGAGGAGGCAAAAACATTCCATCAAGCACCATCTCCCATGCGCACCTTCCCAAACGTTCCTCTAGACTCCTTTTAAAAGCCCAGCCTCTCTTGCTTTCCCTGTTGCTCTTCCTCCCTGAAAACTCAAACCCTAAGCAGAATTTGCGTCTTCCTCCCAAACTTGTCCTATTTGGTCCTTCCAGCCAACCTCTTTCCTCCTAAGAAACACAGATGTGAATTTGGAGGCAGGAGCCCTCATTTCGACTGGACACCGTCAACTCTCATCAGCTTGATTAGCTCTCTTAAAGGAAAAAAAAAAAAAAAGATAGCACAGGAGACTGGACCTGGATCATCATAAAAAAAAGTGGCTAAGTAAAGCAGAAAAAGAAAATCATAAAGGTATGAATCCGGTTACAATGATTATACACAGAAAAGCCATAAAAAAATACTGCATTAGTAATGTTCACCATAAAGCAATCTTATAACCAAATGAAATATGCCTAGCATTATCTTTGGGATGGAATTTTATCTCTTGTTTCCGGGACTGCTAGCAGCAGAGGAAAAAAAAAAAGGAGAAAAGAAAGGGGGAAGCAGTTTCAGGGGTCCTGGAATAGGGTACCACATGTCAGAGCACCTTTACCATCAGCCGTAAGTCGTTAAGACTCGCTGACTGACTTCCATCCTAGGAAAACGGCCCTGCTGTGTTCAGAGACGGCACTGGAAGGAATAACTGGACTGCTTCCATATTTGAAAAAATATATACTTCCGGAGGGCTGTATGCTGGGCTGGTACAAGGTCACCTTTCTTGCCAGGATTGGGGTGGCGTCAGCAGCATGGTCTGGCCTGGGGACACAGGCCGCCTTTGCTGCCTCGGCCACTTTAACACTCGGCAACCAGGCTTCGAGAAACCACTGAACCTGAACAACCAAGAATTGAAGCCACACACCTCCTCACACTCACAGGCAGCTGGGCCGCGTGACGAGTGGGCTCAAAGCTGTCAGCCTGCACAGGGCCTGGGGTGGGGGCCCGGCTCTCCTACCGGGATCTCAGAACAAGCCAGCAGAAGTTTTCCTTTCTGGTTATCTCCCCTATAAGAGGAAAGTGGGAAGGGGAAAAAATGAAAACAAAAGTGTGGCGTAGGAGTCATTAGCATTATGCACAAGAGATGATCCCGGGCAAAAGTGCTTAGGCTCATAATCCGTTTCCAACAAAAATGCCATCAGTGAGAATGCAGGTTGAAGCCGCAGGCCTGTCGGGCAGGGGAGCCACTGAACACTTCAGGCTGAGGGTGGGGACTGTGGCAGATGTGAAGGTCTCAATGTTTGCATGCAGCTAAGGCTGCCACGTTTATTTCTCTGCTCTCTAGAAGTGTGCAGCCTTTCAAACTCCCTCAGGGACACCCCCCCACACTTAATATCCATGTAAATGAGCTTACCCCCTTCCCTGAGAGCCTGCTCCTTTTGTGCCAGACACACCAGCCATTTTCTTAATAAACACCACCACCCTCCTCCTGTGGGGGTGGGGGTGTTGGTCCCATTTCCCCTTCACCTGAACAAGACTCTCCACCCCTCCATCTTATCATTTCCAGTTCAAATTTGCTTTTCTACCTCAGCATCTTCTAAAACCCTAACAAAGGGTTCCTAGATCAGTGGGAGTCCAAATGGAATCAAGATTTGGGTGACCTCAACAGCTCCACAAAAGACCCAGGAGCTGGAGAAGGAAGCGAGTGAGGTTCAAACCCCCTCCCCCCAGCTCAGAAATCGGCCCCCTGGGAGCCGCACCCACCCCTCAGCACCCAGCCCCAGCTCTAGCCACCCCTCCGGGCTGCGGCCGGAGCTCCCTGGATTGAAAACGAGTTATCTAATGAAAATTGTGTTAACTGACATTCTGGCCAACCGGGAGCAAATACCAGCGCTGTAAATCTCGACGCGGAAATTTTCTCCAGCCCAGAATAACAATAGGACCCTGAAAAGGGCTTTCGCCAGCCCTTCTGGTTCCTCTCCTCTTGTCTGCCACGTTCTTGTCATTCCTTATGTTACAGAACATCAATCATAAATAAAGACGCTGTCCCCCAGCCGTGCCCCGGTCTCATTTACAAACATTAGCAGGGAATACGATTACCATTGGCCTTCGTGCCAAGCCCAATGTGGCTGCCCAACTCCCTCTCTCCCTCTTTCTCTATTTCTCTCTCTCTCCCCCCTCCCTCCCTCCCACACACACCCCCCACTCTTTCAGAAAGGCCACTTTAGCATCATTTAAACGGGCAAGCACAGCTCACAGCCTGGCCCGCCTCAGCTGGTCACCAAACTGTAGCCCCAACTCGAGAGAGGACCTGGAATTGCAAGGCACTTGCAGTTATTAACTGCATGCCTGAGTGCCCCGATTTTCTCTCCAGCTCAATGGCTGGGGGAGGGGACGAGTGGGGGGTTAGAAAGGAGGGGGCTGGGAAGTGGCTAGGAGGAGGAGGGTATAGGAACCACTTATCAGAAGAAACTTAAGGAGATCTGCAGGCGGATTTTCAAAAAAGAAATAAGTGTGTCCCTTTTTATCTCCAGACTGATGCTCTCACTTCTTCTGCGAATGTCAAGGCCAAGGCAGGATGTTCTAATCGCCTGGTTCTCAGCAACACTTCCCCGCCCCTTGTTCCCACTGCATGCCGAGACTTTGCAAGACTCCAGGGTTTGGGAGGACTTGGCAGGAGCGTCCTGGGGCACCCCAGAAAGTACAGAGCCTAGAGCAGTACCTTCCGCGGATGTTCTCTGAGATTCCACCCCCAGTCCCACCTCCTAGGGGATTAGCACAGAACACCCCCAAATCTAGGAGAGACATACAGACTTCCAGGGAAAGGTGGAGTGGAGGATATTTGGGAGGGAGTAGCCCTGGGGAAAGAGAGGGAAAGAGAAAAAAGAAAAGAGGGGAGTGGCGGGAGGTAAAGCAAGAGGCAGAAGACTGCAAGGGAATCTCCCATTTAAAAGTTCCCATGGGCCCGAGAGCCGGGAGTCACCTGCTCTGCGCAGCTCCAGGCTCTCCACGGCCCCCGAGGCGGCAGCGCAAACTTGCGCGCGCCCCGGGCCCATCTCCACCGCCCGCCCCATTTGGACTTAAAAAGAGGGTGGAATGGGGGTAAAGGCAAGAAGCAAAGACGAACCCCGAGAACCCGGCCCGAGGAGAGGTCTGCCGGCGCAGGCGGCCAGTCCGGTGATGGTGGCAGCTGCAGCTGGGGCGGCAGCAGCGACGGCCCTTGGGTGGCGGCGCGTCCGGGCTGCGCAGCCAGGCAGGCGGCGGCGGCCGAGGTGCCGGCGGCCGGCGGGGCGCGGAGCCGCCTCCACGCCAACCCCAGCAGCCTCCTCCTCCTCCCTTCTCCTTCTCCTCCTCCTCCTCCACCTCCCTACCCACCAGATCCCTCCCTCCCTCGCCCAAGCCCCAGCCGGCCGCGGACAGGCACGCGGCGCGCTCCGCGGCCTCCCCGGGCGCCGCGAAGTTGGGAGGCGCGCAAAGTGCAGCGCAAGGGGGGCTGCCGGGGGTCCCGCCGGCAGCCCCCTGCCCGGGACCGCAGCCCCTGCTTTCCCCGTGCCTCGCTCGGCCGTTCTCCCGCCGGCTCGCTCCCCGGGCCGAGGGCTCACTAGCGCTTCTCCATGGTCGCGGCGGCTAATCGATGATTGAACCGAACAAAGAGCAGCGGCGAGATCAATTCCTAATACCTATCGATGGGCAGCGGGCAGCCGAGCCCCAGCGAGCCCCAGCAGCCGCCGCCCGCCGCCCCGGGGCGCCCGCCCACCCTCCCGGGGACCTCCCCAATGCGCCCAGGGCGCGCCCTAGGGCTCCCCACGGCCGCGCGGCCGGCGCTGCCCGCACTAACCTGGAGTCGCCGTAGATCAAATCGCTTCCAATATTGAAACATCGATCCCACATTGGCGGCCATCTTGGGGGCTATTCGAGACGCACACACACAAGAGTTTGGCTTTTCTCAATGGCTGCACTCAATATCCGGGCTGGACTCCCCCCAGCCCCGGGGCCGCCGCCGGCCGCCCGGGCCCTGAGCGCCGCCGCCCGGGGCCCCTTGGGCGTCCCCCGGCCTCCTTCCACCCGCTGCCCCTCGGCGCCGCCGCGCCGCCGCCGCCGCCGCCGGGCCCGGGAGTCGTGCGCCCCCCCCGACCCCCGGAGGGCGCGGGCGGAGCGCGCCGGGCGGGGAGCTTGGCGCCCGCCCGGGGGAGGCGGCCGAGGATGGGGCGGGAGGGGAGGGTGGGGGGGAGGCAGCCTCTTCGAGAGGCGACGGCGCCGCCGCTGCCCTGCCTGCAGCCGGCTCCCGGGCCCGCGGAGCGCTCGCTGCATCTCCCCCCCAAGTCCGGGGTCGGTGTGCCGCGCGATTGCACTTGACTTTGGCTTTTTGCAAACTTATCAATACTGACGTAACGTGCTGATCAATGCAAAGGGAAGTTTGGGAGGGGGGGCTGCGGGAGGCCGGCAAGCGGAACGCCAACACCCCCCACTTCGCACCTGTCTACCCCCCCACCCCCTGCATTGCATACTTAAAAAAAAGTTAATAGTTTGCGATGCATTTTTTTTTTCTTTTGCAATCAGAGGACACACAACACGTGCCTCGGGCTGCCACCGCTCCTCCGCCAGCTAAGCTTCGGATCGGAGGGTTGCAGCTCGCAGGTAGGGCCGCGTAGACTCGCGGGCCGGCGGGCGTCTGGGAGCCTGCCAGCGGGCCGGTGGAAGCCGCCCGGGGGCGCCACTGAGTCGTGGGAAATATCACCACTGCCGCGCGCAGTTTCCAAGCCATCATACTGTTTTGATTATTATTGGGGAGCGGCGCCTTAGCCAGAGATCAGGGTTCCTTGCAAGGCGAGGGGATGGGGGCGGGCTTCAGATCCTTCGCAATAGGAATTCTTATTACTGTTATTATTTGGGGGTCTAGAGATAAGGGCTCCTCATAACTTTAGAATGGGAGGCCCTTTTACTGTTACGATGATTATTGGAAGGGATCCTTAGCCAAATCTCTGGAGCACTTTAGCCCCCTCAGTGAGTTGGCTTTTATTATTTGCGTAGAATGGGTTAGCTTTTATTGTTATGATCTGTTGAGGGGGCCGTAGCCCTGCTATGGGGTCTTTGGATTCTCAAAAACTACAGAGATTTCTATTGTTATCATCATTATTATCCGAGGGCCCTTCTAGCTGGGGACCTCAGGTCCTTTGCAGTATGAGACTCCTGTCTGAGGCTCCTGTCTTTTGGGAGAAAGTCTTTAGCTCAGCTAGAGGGAAGTTACCTCTTCTGCAATTTCTGACCTTGGACAATAGGGATGAGGGATAAGTTTCTTCCTTTACATTTTTCCCTCTTTTTGCCTCTGTGCAAGCCAGAGGTTCCCAGTCCCCTCCCAACATCCCACCCCCAGGAGGATCTCAGACCCCCTAAAACCCTCCATCACTAACCCACTTATCCCACCCCCACTCTTGACCCTGGGGTCATGCTCCCTCTCTGGCAAGTCCCCAGCCAAATCCCACCCCACCCACCTCCCTACTCCCCCCAAAAGAACGCTTCCTCCCTCTTTCTCTGGTCAAAAGATTTGCTTTTATAGACAGCAAATGGAAATTATATTCTCTTTTTATGACCCAGCTTGGACTTCTGACATCATTCTTGGTCTGGGACAATAGATCAATACAGAAGGTTGTAAAAAAGATAAAGTTTAGAAGAGTTGTAAAGGAGAGAGAATCGTGATGGATATTTTTGATGATTTTCCAATATTTGTGTCTTGGAGCACGTGCTTCAAGGCAATTAAAGTTTTTAATGTAATGTAAATAATTGTTTCATAAATGCTTCAGAAGAAGGTGTGATCTTTCTGAGCAATCACTTGAGCTGTTTAAAAAATGTAATGTGATTTAAACAAGGATACAGTATTTCTGTTACCATCCCCATACATTTTCCATGAGGCCTGGGTAAATATATTAATGCACAATTTGAAAGACTTGTAAGACCAAAAGTACAGCATTCACCAAGATGTAATGAATTAGGCCTAGTTAGCAATTCCGAGTGGCCTGTTTCCTTGCCAGATTAAATTGCACGTGATGTGTGGTTTATCTCAGCTCTCGATAACTTCACGTTTAAATTACAGCTCTCATTCTGCAAAATGAATTTAGGGAAATTTCATAACTATCACATTGCAATTTTTTTTAAATGGCTACATTTTCTCCTGAGCATCTGTAAAGCTTGCAGTTTCCTTGTCTTTGAGTCTGTTTTTTAAAGACCTGTAATAGAAAATCTAGAGTGAGTGTGAAACCCTTCAAAGCAATTTTTAACAAACCAAGGTTTTGATGAAAGATAATTTTAAATTTATGTCTGACTTTGCAGTCATGGAATAAATTGACATTGTGTACCTCCTGATATGATGTACTGAGAAGGACACAACATCATTTCTGTGATATTCCTGCCAAAAGTACATAACCTGAATCTAATTGTGAAGAAATATTAGACAAACCCAAGTGAAGGGGGAATTCTACAAAATAGCCTGTTTTCTTTAAAAATGTTGATGTCACATGAAACACATAGAAAGATGAAGGAACTATTACAGATTCAAGAAGCAAAAGAGACTTGACAACCAACTAAAACATATGACCCAGGATTTTCTTTTACTGTATAGTGTATTAATTAGAGCCAATGAGAAATTTAGGATAAAGTCAATAGATTGCATAACAGCATTGTATCAACGTTAATTTCCTGGTTTTGATTATTGTATTGTGGCTGTATAACAAAAAAGGCTTGTTTTTAGAGAACAGAGTGAGATATTTAGGGGTAAAGGAACAGACCTCATCATGTCGGCAACTAACTCTCAAATAGTTCAGGCAAAAATAATATGCATGTATTTGTTGATATCTACCTACTAGAATGATACAGCAAGTGTTGCAAAATGTAGTGCCTGAGGACTCTAGATGACATGTACACAGCAATTTGTACTTTCCTTGCAGCATTTCTGGGAATTTAATATTATGTCAAAAGAAAAAGTTAAAAGAAAAAAATAAATTTATGTCTGACTTTTTTTCAGCTGTTAGGACTACTGGGCTTCGGAATAAAAATTCTGCATGGAACTTTTCTACTTTCCTGACTGACATAGGCTGCACCTTTGACCGAGCAGGAAATTGCCACAGCAAACATGCTTACTGAAAAGCAGCAAGAAAATCCAATAATTCAGATTGTTTTAAGTCTGTGATATTTTTAAATGACTTAATGCAGTGGGTCTCTGAAGAATTCTGACAATTTTAATGGTAGAAACTTGCAGTCCCACTGAGGAACGGGTTGCTACATAAATACTGAATGATCGTGTCTTTCTGCCTGGGCCGAAACATATTAGCTTTGCTTAGTGGCTTATTGCTTTATTCACAAAATAAATTTCAGCCGTCTCTCCCCACCATATTCCAAGCGCATCGTGAGCCAGTGCCTTATTAGATGTGAGGGCTTATATTCCAAAGGCATCTGTTACCGTCTCAAGCTCAGCAATAATGAATTAAGCAGTTAAGTGTTTACCCCCTAAACAGAGTTAGCTGGGGAAATGATATTATTATGGGTGGTCCTTAATGAAAGATGGTAAACCAGGAAACACTCTTTTAGTAATCAGCCTCGGATCTGAAAGCTAAAGTACTGAAATATTAAATATTTTTGCGAAAAGCTGTTTTTCATGTTCTTCGTGCACACTCCCTGCCCCAAACACACACACATGTGCAGATATAAAAACACTTAAGCGGGTTCCTTGTTGATTCCTGATTCTCAAAGATCCACTTATCAAGGTAAGTATTTTAAAAATTACAATGGAAAAGATGACACCCTCTCCCTGCCCCAGAGGAAGAAGAGTGTGGCTTTGGGATAGACTATCCTGAAAGCAGAAGCAGACAGAGAGCTGAATCCTTTAGGAAATTTATAAACTGTGTAAGAATCCCAGGGAAGATAATGGCAGGTCCTTAGCCATGAACATAATGATATGCGAAATCCCCAGCATCAAAGCTGAAACAAAAGAAAATGTCCTTCGGTAGCTCTGTACTGCCCACCGCAGCTGCCAGGCAGGGAGAAAGACAGCTAGAGACTCCAAATTTATCTGGAAGCATTAGACAGCCCTCAGAGTGGAGTAAGGGATATGGTACTGCCTGGCTGACACCTGCAGGGGTGTGTACTCCTGGAGGTGGGCCCATGGTTAGGTCCCAGATCCAGAGGTTGGAGTGACCGACTCTAAAGACCAAACCACCAATTCCTTATGTGCAAACACAATGCTGTCAACCTCTACTATTACTAAGCACCTACTGGTTTTTGGATGCTTATAAATAAATCTTTAGCATAATATATTGTTAGAAGCAAGACTCTGGAGTCAGACTGTCCAGATATGAATTCCAGCTCTGCCACTTACAAGCTCTGTGGCCTTGAGCAAGTGACTTTACCTCTTTGTGCCTCATTTTGCTCAGGTGAACAATGGTGCTAATAATCATACAAAAATGTTGAAGATTAAAAGAGTTAATTTCTGTGAAGCACTATGTAAATGTGCCATATCTAGTAGCTATTGTTGTTCGTGGTCTCAGGATGCATGGAACAGCGATCTGCATTCCCTTCTGCAGGTGAAAAGAATAAGGTCCTGAGAGAGAAATGGTCAAATGATTGTCAAAGAGCAGAGCCAGGCCTGACACCTAGTTCACTCACATCAGGCCTGGGGCGCTTGAGCTTGCCATGTCTCTTATGGGGAGGAAAAATGGGAGAAAAAGTGGATGCCCAGAAAGCAGAGCTGCAGTGTGTTACCCAAGTACCAACTCTCATTGACCAATCAAACTGGAGAGGAACAAATAAAACTGTATTTAAAATTGGCACCAAAAAAAAACCACAAACAAACAAAAACAAAAAGTGGAGAGGAACAACACAAAGGGTCAGTCTCCCTTTGCCTGACTCCTGTTGGAGACTAGTTAAACAACAGTGTATTTGTAATGTGCTGATTATTCTCCTTTTGTCTCTCCTTCCCCATTCACTCTACCCCTGCCCAGGGCCCCAGGAAGCCAGCCTCTGTGGACTCTATCTCCCAGGCTCCCTTGTTCTCGGGCATCCAGATGGATT